GAACACTCAAGAGCAGAAGACATCAAAAAGACTGAAAGATAGGAAAGATATCGTAATACTTCCAGCAGACGGACGACGCACTACGGTAGTCAAGGACAAACAAGAACACACCAAGAAGGGAGAGAATTTGCTCGAGGACAAAAATGGAAATCAACCATGTGAGGAAACCCCATCCAAACGTTCGACAACCAGGTAGGTAAAACTCGGAAAAAACCCCTCAAAGAAGAAAAAACAAAGAAAGACAAATGGGGAATGAAGTTGAACGGATCTATAGTCCCTGGGCTCAGTGGCGGACAAAACTACATGAACAAGGAATAAAAATACGACCAATGGTCTCCTTGTGATGCCCTCGGAGATAACCGACCACAACAACCACAGAGAAAAGATAGGGGATATCAGTACCCAAGTCTTTACTAAGGACACGAAGTGCCAGTATGAGATCACTCCGTTTGCTACGATAAGAGAGTGGGGATAAATTGAGCTTACATAGTTGTCCCTCATAGGGCAGATTTAAAAGACCTGCCACAAGCTTAGTACCTACCACTTGAGCACGCTTGAGCACATCAGCACCCTTTTCTTTTCTAAGTATCGGCTGGCCGCCTGAATGCAGTATCCCGAGTGAGGTCTAACGAAAGTACAATAGAGTATTTTGAAGATATCCTGTGCAAAACCTTGGAACAGCGATTACCGTTGTGTGTTCGTTCAGTCGAAATTCCGAAAGTGCAACCAAAATGTCTTTCTGACCAACCCAGCCCACCCACTCGCTCATTGAAATCACCTGCAACGACAGCCACATCTGAGCGTTTGGCTATCAGAAGCAGGCTAGACAGCTGTCAGTAGAACTCATCTGCCACTTCATCCAAATCCCTGATTGGCCAGGTTTCAGTAACGGCTACCACATCAGGATCTAGTTCACAGATTAGTCTCGAGGTCTATCATTTTACTTCTTATACTTCGAATATTGGTGAACATTATGTTCGCTGCGTTAGCAGAGTTTCATGAAGCCTTCGCTTCCAAGATCTCATAAACCGAAAACCTACAACATTAGGATTGTCTTCCCCATTAGTTTGTCGAGCCTTATGTTATGCGAGTGCTCCTTCTCTTTCTACTCGTTAGGGTACACGTTTTGAACTGAAGCGGATTATAGTACCGTTAAGAGTAAATCGTTTTCGAAGGAACTGTCGGATGCTAAGACTGTTAGCTCCGTCCAGTTTATATGTGGAGCATTCAGATCCCTAACTACTAAGCATCTGTCGCTTCCACTCCAGTTACCCATACTGGTTTGGGGAGAAGTTATTTGCAAGGCAATATGGACTATGGTAAATGACTCCAATGATTCAGAAACTTTGCCTTGATTTCAGCTCGCAACTGGTCACTTCACAGGTCCTGCATTGATGTGCTTCGGAAGTTACTGATCCTATATGGGCGTAATTACGAAGAATATTAGAAACCGACATCTTTCGAACTCTCGCATCCATGCATTTATGCCACATTTTTCCTCTGTGGTCTTCCTTCTACACTCGGCTAGCTGGTTCTCTCTGCTCTCAGTGGTAGCTGCAAAACCGGTGACAGGCAAAAATGCAACGTTTACCATTTTGCAGGAAAGTTAAACAAACTGGGTTCCATGTATGCCAATGTGGAGTCTCACTAGATAGCCGAGGCTAGTGTTACTGTAAAAATGATTTTAAAGGTCTACGGCCGGTACTGAGGTCAGAATCCCCACCTCTTTGGTGGGCTAATCTTTCTTTCAGGATTATCCTAAGATACTTAAATTTATTTGAAGTGCATTCAAACTTTGGACATAAGTCATATCTGAACAGATCTCACTGTATCTGAAATAAGAAATTTCAGCCTTTTGCACGAAAGTCTGGTCCGTGCATTTTCAGGGAGGTGGCAAAAATCTACATCATCACAGACACATATAGCAGGTCAAAAATCGTGTAGTTCTTATTATAGTCCAGTTGTGTCTGAATTATTGTCATAAAACCATCCAGTCACATCTTGCTCAGGATCCAAATAAGTGCTCAAGATTTGACCGGATGGTATAGCAAATATTGACATTAGATGCAGTTTATATTTGCACAAAGGCAGTGTTAGGAGTAAAATAGTTAACGTTTTTCATGAGAATCCGGCGAGAGCTTCAAATGCAATCACTATGTGAAGACGATTGGGTAGGGGGACAACTTATTTCTTTATTGAAGCACATGCCTGTGAATTCGTCCATACATCTTTGATACCCAAAATTCCGATTGTTTCTCTGAAAAAGTTCGAAACAGACTTCTATGCGAAATGTTGGAACTGTTTATTTTATTCCAAGCACGCTGTGACTTACAGAAATATAAACTACATCTAATGTTAGCCTTTGAACTAATACACTGTGAGGGGCCACTATTTCCCGAGGTCTGCACTCCTTGGTGTACATACTCTCATTAGAAAGTTGGCTTTTACCCTGATTTTGGATTTTTAATATTTTATCTTCTCCTGGTTCACGTGTAGCTGTCTATTTTGGGTCAGCACCAGTTGTCTTTACGGTGGTCCGCATGGTTAACACCCTCATACCCTGTAATCAGATCACCTCATTTCCTTCGATGGTCGAGGGTCAAGTTCTCGGGGACGCTCAAAATTTGGTTTCCTCCTTGCCTTGCGACAGGTCTCGTTGTCGTTTTCTTCGCCTTCTCTGGGAGGCCAGAATTCCGCTTAGGCGGCGCAGGGGATACTGTTTCCAGAACCTCAGAATGGGGCCCGAAAATGATTTAAAAAATTTGAGAAACGATTGACAGTATTAATATTTATGCCTGAATATACGAGCTCACACAATTTCTGCAGGTGTAAGTTTCTATATAAATTACATGTATCTCCATGGAAGGCACTCTCGATCCCCACCCACTGCTACTAGAAGATATAGGTACCATGTGTTCATATAATGAAACATCCCAGCAGAAAAAGTACACGAAAATTTACAAGTTGGTCAAGCTTATGTAATGTCTTCGCATTAGCAGAAAAACCAGGTTTGTATCTCGACACTGCATGTTTTACCTGGAGAAAAATGAAGCTTGAAGCTAACGCTTCCATTGTAACAGTTTGTGCTTTTTCCTTGAGACAATGGTGAAAAGTTTATGAGTGAATGTGCGCACGAACTGTTTATTTACTATACTTCACTGATGCTTTCAGGACTGCAAATCCATGCGTGTTAATAACATTCCAAAAAAGATTCATAATCTTGATGAACATTATGAATGAGTGCTAATTATATTCTCTTTTCCAACACCAGCATCCACAAGCGACAGGCTCGTTTGAATGCGCCAAATGGACTTCCAGGACATCTCGTCTTAAAGAGAGAGGCTAGGCCGTGTACAGTTTAAAACCTTCGTGATTATGGAAATATTAAAGAAACTGAACCCGAATAAGTCTCCAGGAATCGATGGTATTCACCCAAGAGCACTCAAGGAGTGTGCTGAAGTGCTGTGTGCCCCACTAGCAAATCTCTTCAAATGCTCGTTTCTTGAGGGCAGGTTACCCTCTGACTGCAAACGGGTGGCTGTCACCCCAGTTTATAAGGGTGGAAACAAACTACTCACCTCCAACTACGGACCGATCTCCCTGATCTCTTCAGTTGCGAAGGTCATGGAGAGAGTCATAAATGACTCACTTCATGATCACTTGCTTCAGAAATCAACCCTAAAGGACTGTCAACATGGTCTTCTACCAGGAAGGTCATGTAACACAGACTTGGAATAGCTGGACACTCTCTGTCGAGAAGAAAAATCCCATACACGTTGGTTTGCTTGACTTTTCTAAGGCCTTTGACAGGGTAAATCATGACATCCTTTGTAAGAAACTCCAGCTCATGGATGTACACGGAAAATTATTAATCTGGCTTAGAGATTATCAGTACACCAGGGTGCAGTCAGTTAGAGTCTGCTCCTCTCTATCTGATTGGTTCCCGAGGCTGATTGGTGTGCCTCAAGGTTCCATACTGGGCCCACTACTGTTTCTTGCTTTTATCAATGACCTACCAGGGGTCCTTAATTCACATCCACTATTATATGCCAATGATCTGAAGATCTGGAGGGAAATACAGCAGCCGACGGATATTTCGGTTTTCCAGGAAGACCTTACGAAAATCCTTAATTGGACTACAGAAAACCTGCTTCCTCTCAACTCGAAGAAGTGTCGAATTACGGTAGTTGACAAACATAAAGGCAGTCCCAGTTCTTACTCTCTAGGAGAAGTAAATATCTGTCACTCTAACATGGAACAAGATCTGGGAGTTACACTAAATGATACACTAGGAGCCTCTGTTCACTGTCGCCTTGCAGCCAATAGGGCTCATAGAATCTTGGGGTTTCTCTCGCGAACCTTAGGGTGTCTAACTCCTTCTCTTTTCACCACAGTGTGTGCTCTGTACATTCGTCCTCACTTAAAAAAAAATTCGCTTGTGATGTCCCCATACTTGAAAAAGGACACTGCCACCCTAGAACAGGTACAGAGAAGAGCTACAAAGAAAGTGATTGGGTTACGGCACAAACCGTACCCAGACCGCTTAGTTGCTCTTCACCTGTACCCAGTACAACGCCGGAGGATCACAGGGGATATGATCATGATGTATCGCATTGCCCATAACACCCTCCATCCCAACAAATCCCTTCTAAGCTCCAGTCGGAAACGCGACCTGAGGGGTCACCCGCTGAGAATAAAGCATGAAAGAGCACGTACAAAGATCCGTGCTAACTCATTTACAGTTAGAGTCTGTAGACTGTGGAATTCCCTCCCCTCAGCAGTTGTTGCAGCCCCATCCACTGCTACCCTTAAAAGGAGGCTAGACGCACACCTTGAGTCCAACGGTACCTATGGGCTATACTCGAGAAGCTTTCCCCGGATCAGATGCAGTAATACTAACTTGGAACCAGATTAATTAATTAATCGTATCTCTATCCTTTCAGGTTTTTCAGAACCGGGAAGATAATTGTGATCATTCCAAACTCAGAACGTACTCCAGTATGACAGATGTCGAGCCCAAGGGACCGCCGTTCGCTAATTCAACAACACGATGTTTGAAGTTTGAAACAATGTGCTACATCAGTACCAATCTTAATAGTGCTAGACAAGAGCTTAGGAAGGTCAGTTCTGGAGCAGATAGTATTTTAGGTTTAAATTTTTTGAGTTTTGTTTTGTGCTACGGTGTTACTGTCGTGTCGCAACGGTGTTTTGTAGACTTCCAGTTCTAAAATTGTCGGATCGACTCGAAGTCATTTGAGCAAGGTGACTATCAAGTCTTGTTCATATGTAAATAAGATGCATAAGAGATGGTTTTGATTCATTTACTAATAATTTATATAATTTGCCGGTAACTATGTAGTTGTGTGCCTCTAAATCACGTAACTGAAACTACTACCGTGTACAAGTGTTGTAGTAAACCAGCTTCCCTCTGGTTGTGATTTATTCTGTAAGCCCTTGTCAGCCGTAATCAAGGAAGCTGTCAAAATGTTACTGGCCAAAAGGCGGTCATATGGCAGTGGTAGCTGTCATCCCAATGAGGCATCAGATGATTACACTGCAACTGTTATTGTTAATAAATCTGATCTCAAAATGGACTGTTGGATATTAGCGACCTAATTAGTGAGATTGCACCAGTTCTGATGCGTACTCGATATAAGGGAAAACCGAGGACAACTGGTGTGTCGGCTATAATGCCTAAGACAACACCAAAAGACGGCAGATTTGTTATCAAATTTGACTCTATAGAGGTGATCAACGAATTTAAAAGGAAGAATTTGAAGAAACCTCCAAGGGTTATCACTAAAGCTACTAAGCTAATGAGACCTATCGAGAAGGTTTCGAAGGTCGTGAACACTCAATTCAAGGATTCCATACCAACTCCTAGTGTAATTTGTAGAATGTTGAGGAGTCATCGGAAAAAGACCTTTCAGTACGTCATAACCATGACCTAAAACTAGTCGAGTCGGCCACCAGATATATTCTACCTGAAACGTGTAAAGGAGTACATATCCCCAAAGTAGTAGCGGTAGGTAAGAGAAAAGAAGGAAGACCTGATGAGAAGAGAATTTCGTAGGTTGGTTTTAACAACAAAAAAGAAGTGGATGTACTCTTGATTAACGCATCCAAGCTACTAAATTCGACATCGGTACCCTACCTGACTGGCCTCTTGACGAATAAAAAGAAAAGGAGCATTCGCATAACATAAGGCTCGACAAACTGATGAGGAAGACAATCCTAATATTGTAGGTTTTCGGCTTGTGAGGTCTTGGGAACGAAGGCTCTCAAGGTCTGTAGGGATAGTTCATGAAACTCTGCTAACGCAGCGAACATAATGTACACCAATATTCGAAGTATAAGAAGTAAAATGATAGACCTCGAGACTAATCTGTGAACTAGATCTTGATGTGGTAGCCGTTACTGAAATCTGGCTAATAAGAGATTTAAACTTTCTGCCACTTCTAGCAGGGTAAGGACTGATAGTGTTGTGGGTCGCAAAGATGGTGGAATATTACTCTATGTCCGTAATGACGTCCACATACGTTCAGTCACTTCCGAAGCACATCAATGCAGGACCTGTGAAGTGACCAGTTGCGAGCTGAAATCAAGGCAAAGTTTCTGAATCATTGGAGTCATTTACCATAGTCCATATTGCCTTGCAAATAACTTCTCCCCAAACCAGTATGGGTAACTGGAGTGGAAGCGACAGATGCTTAGTAGTTAGGGATCTGAATGCTCCACATATAAACTGGACGGAGCTAACAGTCTTAGCATCCGACAGTTCCTTCGAAAACGATTTACTCTTAACGGTACTATAATCCGCTTCAGTTCAAAACGTGTACCCTAACGAGTAGAAAGAGAAGGAGCACTCGCATAACATAAGGCTCGACAAACTAATGGGGAAGACAATCCTAATGTTGTAGGTTTTCGGTTTATGAGATCTTGGAAGCGAAGGCTTCATGAAACTCTGCTAACGCAGCGAACATAATGTTCACCAATATTCGAAGTATAAGAAGTAAAATGATAGACCTCGAGACTAATCTGTGAACTAGATCCTGATGTGGTAGCCGTTACTGAAACCTGGCCAATCAGGGATTTGGATGAAGTGGCAGATGAGTTCTACTGACAGCTGTCTAGCCTGCTTCTGATAGCCAAACGCTCAGATGTGGCTGTCGTTGCAGGTGATTTCAATGAGCGAGTGGGTGGGCTGGGTTGGTCAGAAAGACATTTTGGTTGCACTTTCGGAATTTCGACTGAACGAACACACAACGGTAATCGCTGTTCCAAGGTTTTGCACAGGATATCTTCAAAATACTCTATTGTACTTTCGTTAGACCTCACTCGGGATACTGCATTCAGGCGGCCAGCCGATACTTAGAAAAGAAAAGGGTGCTGATGTGCTCAAGCGTGCTCAAGTGGTAGGTACTAAGCTTGTGGGGGGGGACAACTATGTAAGCTCAATTTATCCCCACTCTCTTATCGTAGCAAACGGAGTGATCTCATACTGGCACTTCGTGTCCTTAGTAAAGACTTGGGTACTGATATCCCCTATCTTTTCTCTGTGGTTGTTGTGGTCGGTTATCTCCGAGGGCATCACAAGGAGACCATTGGTCGTATTTTTATTCCTTGTTCATGTAGTTTTGTCCGCCACTGAGCCCAGGGACTATAGATCCGTTCAACTTCATTCCCCATTTGTCTTTCTTTGTTTTTTCTTCTTTGAGGGGTTTTTTCCGAGTTTTACCTACCTGGTTGTCGAACGTTTGGATGGGGTTTCCTCACATGGTTGATTTCCATTTTTGTCCTCGAGCAAATTCTCTCCCTTCTTGGTGTGTTCTTGTTTGTCCTTGACTACCGTAGTGCGTCGTCCGTCTGCTGGAAGTATTACGATATCTTTCCTATCTTTCAGTCTTTTTGATGTCTTCTGCTCTTGAGTGTTCCTCTGAGCGTGATGTTTCTTCTGCTTGTTCAGAGGTACGTCTGCTCGTCATGTTTCCCTTTGAGTGACTTCATTTAGTCTTGATGTTTTAGGTGACTATTCTAACACAGAGAAATTTCTGGTTTGGAGGCATCTCTTGTGTTGTAATTCAATCCCTTGCTAAGAAGAAGAGATGATTCGAAACCGGAAATTTTGCAGCGTTAGAATCGTCACCTACAACATGGAGATTAAATGGAGCCACTCAAAGAGAAATGTGACAAACAATCGTTATACTTCCAGCAGACGAAGGACGCACTACGGTAGTCGAGGACGAAGAACAGCACATCAAGAAGGGGAGGATATACTCGAAGACAAAAGTGTGGGTGAGCCACGTGAGAGAAACCTATTCAAGAGTTCGACAGCCAGGTCAATAAAACCCTGGAAAATCTCTTCGAAGCGGTTCTGTGGCGGACAAGACTACACTAACTAAACGTCCACCGACGACCTGTAGTCTCACTTGCGGAAACCCCGACATACAACGTGCCAAGAGAACTTTCGAGAAAGCTGAAACGCCTCGTCCAACCATATGGGCACCCCGTCAAATCGTCAGTAGAACTCCTAGAAAAGAACGAAAGCATTAATATGGAAAATGGCGAAGTAATGGTGTCCTATGTCACAGCACTATGCACATCCATCAAGCTCCGATTGGCCAAGGAATTTATGTACTTCCTCCCCATTGAAGACGCAAGCCTTTCAGGTCTGCTGGAACTCATCGATCTTTGTCTGACAACGTACTTCCACCCTATCGGCAAGATGCACAAGGGGACGAAAGGAACTCCAGTGGGATCACCGAAATGCGGGCAAATGGCCGAAGCAGTGACGCAGAGACCGGAAGCCACCATTTTAGCTGTCACTAAACCGAAAAGTTGAATTCTCTGTGCAGACGATGCTTTTGTCATCATTAAAAGAGATATGAAAAGCACTCACGGTCTGATCAACGGCGTTTCCAATGACATCAACTTCACTACGGAACTTGTTTATAGAAGCTGGACGGAATACATTTAAAAATGGGTTCTGTAAATTCCGTAATCTGGAAAACTTAGATTACACAGTCTCGAATATCCCTCAAGAAACAGCTTGTAAGGGATTGCGAAAATTGTCCTAAAAGACTGTTCGCATTCATCAAAAGAAAAAAAGAAAATGCAGAATTCTCTCTGGTGACCGATGGAAAGTTCGGTAGTCTGGCGGAATGTAGTCTGTCCAAAGCTGAATGTCTATCGGATTATTATTTATATTATTTATTAGTCCATTGGGTTCCTAATGGAACATGGGGATTCAGTAGCACGTCTCCAGTGAACTCTGTTCTCCGAAATCTTTTCAACCTGGCTCCACGACAGCCCAGAAGCTCTCATTTCCTCCTCACACGTTCTCCTCCATGTCACCCTCGGCACCGACGCCCAACTCGTCGCGTCCCATCGGGGTTCCACTCGAGGGCTTGACGCGTGATGTCCCCAGTCGGCTTTCACAGTGCATGCCCAATCCATCTCCACTTCCTTCTACATATTTGTTGAGCGATAGGTTCTTGGTTGGTTCGTTCCCAGAGCTCCTTGTTGCTTATTCTTTCTGGCAATCCTTCTGATCTTCAGTAGCGAGCGTAAGCAGTTGTTGATGAATGTCTGTAGTTTATTGGAAATGCCTTTCGTGACGCGCCAAGTCTCTGAACCATACAAGAGCACTGACTTGACTAAGGTTGGTGTTGAAAATCCGGATGTTGTTCCGCATGCTGAGTGCAGAAGATCTCCACACTGGTTTCAGGCTAATGAACTCCTGCCTTGCTGTCTTCCCGATCCTGACTCTGACATCCTCGTCTGTCCCACCTGTAGTTGAAACAGTGCTTCCTAGGAGAGTGGGTGAAGGAGGTTACTTCCTTTAAGTTTCTCCCGTTGATGGTGATTGGAGTTTGTTGTTGTTGGAGTTGTTGGTGCGGTATCTTCATCACTTCTGTCTTCTCTATATTCACTTGAAGTCTCGTTTTCGCTGCCCTGCCTCTTCTGTCAACTTTTAGTTTTCACCTGTAGGTCTTCAAGTTTGTTTGACATCAGGCACAAGTCGTCGGCGAAATCCAGATCTTCTAGGTTCTTTTCCGCAGTCCAGCCGGCGTATCCCCCTCTTCTTGCTCCCCACTGTTGTCTGCTGCATGATCCAGTC